CTCTAGATCTCGTTCTCGGTCTGATTGTCCTTCTCGTACTCTTTCTCGTATTCGGTCTCATTAGCTGTGCTGTTTACATTCTCAATCGAGAACCTTATTCTAACCCAATCGCTAAGTCTTACAGGATCCCTTTCGGACGTGGTGTTTGCTCTCATTCTCGTTCTCGTTCATGCTGTGATCTTGTTCTTGCTGCCCGTCTTGTTCTCAATTTACCTTTCACTCACTTTATTCTTCTCCATCTCATTCTGGTTCTTGCTGTCAGTTTTCTCTTTATTTATTTTTCGCCATTTCTTTTCATTCTATCACTTTGTCCGTTTTGATGATTGAGACAGAGAACGGTTTCCATCTCGTATTTTCCACTACCCTCGTTGACTCTTTAGTCGCCTCTGACAACCCCTCTCGGTGAGGAGTTGAAATCTCCTCTTCTTGTCTTTGCGGATGGTACCCATTTTGTGGTCGTCCGACATGCACACGTCGCCTACGAAGCTCGTCGAGTTGGCTCCTGCCTCGTTTCCGGTCGAGTCGTGGCCGGTCCACTTGCAGCTCGTGAGCGGATTCGAGGCTCAGACAACGCGGCGCCCGATTTAAGTGTCAGGCGCAGACGAAAAGAACCAAGTCGGCTGGCATTTGCGCCTCCACTTGACCATATTACTCAGCACGGAATGAGTAGTGCTGCCGACTGGCGCCAAGTCAACATGAGAAGAGACCTCGTCTGTCGTGTACAGTTGTTATTGCAATCCTGTGCTGACGCACTTGACGCCAATAGTGACTTTTGTCCACAGCATCAGCCTCGATCCGCATCGATCAGCAGCACTGGCGGGTGCTCGACTCATGCTCTCTCGCTCTCCGACCTTTGACCTGACAACAAGCCACTCGGATTGCCTGGTTGCCGTCGCTGTGTCTTATCTGCCTGTCTGTATGCTGTTCTGTGTGTGGGCATGTCGAGCATGATTAGCAGAAAAGAGGCTTCGGAATGACGCCCTCTTCTGCCTGACCCTCGTAATCGGGGGCGTGGCTGAATCCTGACAAGGCGCCGAGTTGTCAGGCTTCATGGTCCGAGGCCGACTCAATCCGACGGCGGCTCATGAGCCAGTTGGTTTACTCCACTCGAGAGCCGGTCCGAGAGCCGCCGACGTCCTCTCCTCTTTGCTCAACCAGTCACAACAGCCCTGGTGCCGTCACGCAATACACGCGCTGAACATTTCCCCATCCCGCTATCTATCTATCTATCTATCTATCTATCTATCTATCTATCTATCTATCTATCTATCTATCTATCTA